ACACTTACTACTCTTCAGTCCCTCCTGGGTGCCCATCTCTGTTTTTTTTTTTTTTAAGATTTATTTATTTATTATGTATTCAGTGTTCTGTCTGCACACATCCATGCAGGCCAGAAGAGGGCACCAGATCTCATTACAGATGGTTGTGAGCCACCGTGTGGTTGCCGGGAACTGAACTCTGGACCTTTGGAAGAACAAGCAGTGCTCTTAACCTCTGAGCCATCTCTCCAGCCCCTCATCTCTGTTTTAGACGCATGCAGCACTTCATGCAGCACCCTTAGTCAGTCTTGAGATGCAGTCCTTCCTTCTTACTGATGGAGACTGGTCCAGGGCCATAGGGCTCCTGTCACCAAAGCCAACTGAGCTCTGCCCTCCTCCAAAGCATCTGGATGTTCCCCTTTGCCCATAGACATCGTAGGAAAGACAGATGCTTCGACAGCAGGCTGATCTCAGGATCCCAAACAGCGGTACCCAGGTCTCTCACTCTGTGTTTTGGGAGAAGTATGTATACAGAGCCCCAGACGCTGGTCTCGGAAGGTCAGCCAGGAGCCCTGGATGGACCGTGGCATCTAGCTTGTCCTGCCTCACTTTCATTGCAGGTCTTGATGGGTAAAATGGGGGGACAGAGGCAGATATGGGTGAAGATGATCGTGTCCATGTGTTGGGTAGGAAAGAGATTCGGGAGTCTCCTCGAGCAGAGGTTTTTGGTTTGGTTGTTAGGATGGACCACTTAAAGACCACCACGTGGTTGCTAGAGGAAATAGGAGTTTGAAGGTGATACCCACCCTTATCTGCGTTTCTCACCCACAGAGCCCCAGGCAGCAGCCACAAGAGACCGGAGGGGCAGTCGGCCATCTCCTACGATTACTCCGAAGAGGAGCTGATGGCGAGCATCGAGAGGGAGTACTGCCGCTGAGCTGGCCGAGCATCCCCGGGCACCACCGACCAGGCCTGGCAGGCCTGTGAGCTGGGCGAGTCAGAGGGTACCACCACCTTGCCCCGCCCGTGGCCCAGCCAGAGCGAACCCACTTCTTGAATACAGCCATCTTTCCAAACTGATTTTTAAAGATTCTCCATCAGAGTCCTGGACCAAGATTAAGAAGAAACAGGTCCTGGGCCATGGGTGTGTGAACACCTCCTCTCACACAGGGGTAGCCTGGTTGTGTGGTTCCCCTGAACCTTTCTATTTACTCCTTTTCCAGGAGGGGAAAGGTCAACCCCTCTTGGCATCTGTGTGTGCCACAGGCTTCTAGAAGGTTCCACCAAGGTATGTTCTTGGTCTTCACGGAGAGTTCTCCAGAGGGAAACAGTGGATTCCATGTATATCAGTTTCCACTTGCTCACAAAAGAGCCTGAGTGTATGGCTGACAGGCAGATCCCGAGCACCAAGGTCTAGATGGATCCAGAGACTGCATTTCCAACAGCGTAGCAGTCAGGGCAAGCTGCAGGTGCAAGGACCGAGTGCCTGCATTTCAGACTGTCCCTCGGCTCTGCCCTTCCTCATGCTGGAGGCTCCTCCAACAGCACACCAGCCTCCCCTGCTTGGATGTCGTAGGAAGAGAGCGTGGGCCGGGATCCACAGACTGCTCTGGCATCCCAGTATTATGTGAGCTTGTGGTGGGGATGCAGAGCTCATCGATTCTCTCTCTGGGCCTCAGTTTCTCTCTGGGGGAGAATCCTCGAGGTTCTTGAAGACCTTTCAAGCCCTATCCGTCGGGCGGCTCTATCTCCCAGCCCTTCATCTCCCAGCAGCCACTGTGCCTTCTCCATCCTGCTGAGTGCAGGATTGCTCGGATGACGGGAGCTGGGAGAGCGAGCCCACTCGAGATAGGTCTTCATGGTAATTGCTCTCCAGATTCCCTTTGGCTGGCAGTCTGGCTGTGGACCTCTTCTCCTCCTCCCTGCTCGGGTTGAAGACAGACACAGTAATGAGGCCAGCAGAGCCTTCAGACATTCCCAGTGGGCAGATGGGAAATACAGAGAGTCTATGGGAAGGAGGGGAGGGCCTGGGTGGGTCCTGTAGGGTGTGTGGATGCACCGGGACCGCCGTCGAGGGTGCGGCAGGAAGGGTTCACAGATCTGGGAGTGGTGGCGCACACTTACCACCAAGCAGACATCAGGCCAAGGCGAGAGGACTATTGAGAGGCTACATGGTGAATGCGAGACCAGGCCAAACCGCTTAGTGAGATTCTGTGTCAGAACACAGTAGAGAAGGAGGGCATGGGGGCAGCTTTGGCCGAGGCCAGAGCAGGCCTCAGTTTATGTTACATTCCCCTGCCAAACAGTGGCCTCCCCCGGTACCACACCTCTCCTGAGAACTGCCACCAGCCTGAGTCTCCTCAGAGCTCAGCCTGGACTGGCCAAGGAAGAATGGTCACCAGGACTGTCTCCACACCCACAGTCCTGTGCTGTCACCCGCAAATGACTCCACCATCGGTGACGACTTGACAAGCGTGCCTTTGAGTTCGAAGCTGGGAGACGGGTGCCCCCGTTGGAGCCCAGAGCCATGGGGTGTCTACCAGCTGGCTGAGCATGAGGTCAAAACCTCCCACAGCCGGACGCCGCATCGCACCCAAGCTCAAAGCACTGCTTTTGATATGAAGATGAGAGCTGTTTCTATTTTAATATGTTAGCCCAAATATTACAAATGCTTGCTTTAAAAAGAGGTTAAAATGTTACATTTTTTTTACCGAAGGACGAATCAGGCTTTGAACTTGATGTTGCAAATATTTACAGCTTATATGTTGTGTTTGAATAGGCACATTCAATTCATAATTCACATAATTCATCTGATTAAGGGAATGATGGGGGCCGGGCGGTGGTGGCGCACACCTTTAATCCCAGCACTTGGGAGACAGAGGCAGGTGGATCTCTGTGAGTTCGAGGTCAGCTTGGTCTACAAAGGGAGTTCCAGGACAGCCAGGACTACACAGAGAAACTCCGTCTCAGAAAACAAACAAATGTACATCCCTCAGTTCCAAGGATGTCCTGAGCAGTGGCTAGCCAGAGCAAGTGTGTGCCACCCAAAGTGAGCTGTGGTCCTGGGGAAACTGAGGCTCTGGAGAGGCTGGTCCTGCAAGAGGTGGGGTTGGGTACACTGCAGCCCACAGGAGAACTTCCTGTACTGCCCGGGTGCCAGGTACACACCCAGGTCGCATCCTGCACAGATGCCTATCGGTTGGCTGCCCATGTTGTTTTCCCAGCCACGAGCCCAGCTCTAAGCAGAGGGTGGGATTTGCCCCCACACAGCATGAGCTGACCCTGGTTCTCATCACAGAATGTCTAAGTAACCACAGACGGCGCTGCAGCAGATTTCCCCCAAGATCCCAAGGCTGTGCTTGAGAAAACTCAGCCCTTCCAGTTAAAAATCATGGGTAGGCTTTCTGGACAGAGGGGCAGAGCTTTGAGAAACCCCCAGGGTTTGTGTTCATGAGGGGGTCTTGGCTCAGCTTGGAAGGGACCTCCCACACTAGCAGGGATTGGCCAAAACTACCTGGAACAAGCTTTTATTTTTATTTTATTTTATTTTTTTTTTTTTGGTTTTTCGAGACAGGGCTTCTCTGTGTAGCTTTGCATCTTTCCTGGAATTCGCTTTGGAGACCAGGCTGGCCTCGAACTCAGAGATCCGCCTGCCTCTGCCTCCCGAGTGCTGGGATTAAAGGCGTGCGCCACCACCGCCCAGCTCTGGAACAAGCTTTTAGCACCCTCTTTTCTGATGTTTCCAATTCCCAGAAGCAGTTTATTTCCTGGAATGATGCCCAGGTCCCTGCCTGGGAGTCCTACCCTACCCCTGGTAGATTCTGGGATTCATGAATGAATGTCACTATGTCACTGTCCCCTGACAAAGGCTACCCCCCCC